AAGAATTCAGTTCATTGATGCTTGACATCAAGAATATGTCGGAGGAAGATAAACTTTTCAACTTTATGTCTAGGTTACAGAATTGGGCCCAATTGGAACTACGGAGACTCGGTGTCAAAGATTTGCCTTCGGCCATAGTTGCGGCAGATGGGCTGCTTGACTGCAAGTTGAGCAAACCCCACGTGTGAAACTAGCAAATCTAAGAAAAAAGGGAAATAGAAGGTTGGAGAGAAGAAGTCTGGTTTCAAGAAAGGCAAAGCTGGTTCCAAGTACAAGCAAAAAGGGGACTCTTTTCAGAATAGTGGTGGGAAATATAACAAAGGGTGTTTCATCTGTGACGGACTCAATAGAGCGAAGGATTGTCCCAAGCGTAAGAAACTTAACGCTATGGTCGCAGAAGATAACAAATGGAAGTCGGATTCTGAAGGGCCGACTAGGATAAATCCCTTGTAATTGCTTAATACAATTTACGCAGACAAAGCCCCTATGACGGGTTTAATGTACATCAAGGTGACATTGAGGGTTACTGACATTGCGACAATGGTTTACACTAGTGCCACGCATAACTTCCTATCGAAAAAGGTTGTACAGACCCTTGGGTTACAAGTTACCTACAGTGCTAGTCGAATCAAGGCGGTAAATTCAGCGGTTCAATCGGTACAAGGAATGGCTTCTAAAGTACAGATCATAATTAGAGATTGGACTGGACGAATTAACTTGATGGTGGTTCCTTTGGATGATTTCGATGTCATCTTAGAGAATGATTTTTTTGTGAATGCAAAAATGGCTTTGATGCCGTATTTGGATGGAATACTTATTTCGGATGAAGACAAGCCTTGCTTTGTTGCTGGTTGTAGTAAATCAGACAAAGACAAGGGCACAAAGAGGAAAACAGAGACCTTCTCAGCAATTCAAGTGCACAATGGTTTGAAAAAGGACACAGAGACTTATCTTGTTGCCTTGGTGGAAATCAAACCCAATCTGTTTGTAGAAGTGCTAGATGAAGTAGTAAATGTGTTAAGGAAATTTGAGGATATAATGCCTCCAGAGTTACCAAAGTCCCTTCCTCCTCGACATGCCACTGATCACAAAATAGAGTTTGTTTTGGGTGCTAAGCCTCTAGCGAAAGCATGCTACAGAATGTCTCCAATAGAACTCACGGAATTACAAAGGCAATTGACGAACTTATTGGATGTTGGATTGGTTCAACCATCCAAGGCCCTTTACGGTGCCCCAGTGCTTTTTCAAAAGAAGCAAGATGGAAGCTTGCACATGTGTGTTAATTATCGAGCTCTCAACAAAATGACTATAAAGAACAAATACCCAGTCCCTTTGGTGGTAGACCTATTTGATTGATTGTGCAAAGCCACTTACTTCACGAAATTGGATTTACGTGTTGGCTATTGGCAAGTTTGAGTGGCTGAAGGAAATGAGTCAAAGACTACATGTGTTACGAGGTGTGGGTCTTTTGAGTTTCTAGTAATGTCATTTGGGTTAACTAATGCCCTGGTTACATTCTATAATCTTATGAATAACGTATTCCATGATTATGTCGATCGATTTGTTGTTGTTTATTTGGATGACAATATAATCTATAGTGAGTCCTTAGAAGATCACTTAACCCACCTTCGGATGGTGTTCACTCGGTTGCGAGAACACCAGTTGTATGTTAAGAAAAAAAAAATATGAGTTTGCCCAGTGAAAAATTAAGTTCTTGGGGCATGTGATTTGCAAAGGCCTTGTGAAGATGGACAATAGAAAAGTGCAAGCAATCATGGATTGGCAAGCACCAAGAAAAATGGCTGAGTTACGATCTTTTTGGGTTTGGCTAATTATTATAGAAAGTTCATTAAGAGACACTCAAAGAAGGCAACACCTCTCACAGATTTGCTCAAAAAGGACAAACCATGGAAGTGGGATGAAAGTTGTCAAGCGACCATTGACAAGTTAAAAGTTGTTGTTGCAAATGAATCAGTTTTGCGATTACCTGATTTTGAACTTCCAGTCAAATTGTATACTAACGCTTCTGATAAGGCTATTGGCGGTGTTTTAGTGCAAGAGGGGCACCTGGTTGCGTTTGAGAGTCGGAAATTAATGATGCTAAAAAGAAGTACTCTACCCATGAAAAGGAAATGACAGCAGTTGTGCATTGTCTTCAAATTTGGAGAGTTTACCTATTAGGAAGAAAATTCATAGTGTTGACGGACAATGTGGCAAATACTTTCTTCAAAACACAAAAGAAGTTGTCTCCAAGGCAGCCTAGATGGCAAGAGTTCCTTGAAGAGTATGACTTCGAATGGCGACACAAGTCTAGGCGTCATAACCAAGTTGTTGATGCTTTGAGTCGAAAGGAAATTGTGGACTATGCTGCTGCGATACCAAACATTGAAACTCAATTGTTGGAAAGGATTCAGGCAAGTGCTGCAATTGATTCTGAATATCAAAGGCTGGTTAAGCAAATGAATGACGGCATGATGCGTCGCTATTGGTTGGAAGACGATCTACTCCATGGCAAAGGAGATAAATTATATGTCCCTAGTGTTAGAAGACTGAGATTGGAGTTGCTTAGAGAAACTCATGATCCGTAATGAGCGGGTCACCCCAGACAACAATGCATGATTGCTTTACTATCTCGTTCTTATTGTTGGCCAAAGATAAAAGAAGATGTAGAAGCCTATGTCAGAACTTGCTTAGTGTGCCAACTAGACAAGATAGAGAGAAAGAAGGTGGCTGAACTGTTGCAACCGTTGCCTATTCCAACGAAGCCTTGGGTATCTGTTTTTATGGACTTCATATCTGGATTGCCAAAGGTGAACAGTATGCGTTCTGTTATGGTTATTGATGATCGCTTTTCTAAATATGTTGTGTTTATCCCTGCTCCTCATGCTTGTTCTGCCGATGTTGCAATAGACCTATTTTATAAATATGTGGTGAAGTATTTTGGTTTACCTGAGAATATTGTTAGTGATAGGGATACCAGATTTACGGGGCAGTTTTGGATTGTGCTATTTAATTTGATGGGATCCGAGTTAAAGTTTTTCTATATCAAATCATCATCAAATTGATGGACAGACCAAGAAAATAAATGCCTTGCTGGAAGAATACCTCCGACATTATGTGATTGCAAGTCAAAGGAACTGGATTGATTTGTTGGATAGTGCACAGTTTTGTTATAATTTGCATCGATTATCTGCCACGGGTATGAGTCCGTTTGAATTAGCAATGGGGCAACAGCCCCTCACTCCGCATGAAGTGGCAAGGACTGGTTTAGGGGGTACATGTCCAGCAGCATACCGGTTTGCAAGGGCTAAACAAGATATGCTAAATGAAGCACAAGATAGTTTGGCTAAGGCAAGCAAGCAGATGAAAAAGTATGATGATAAAGGGCGGAGGCCATTGGAATTCAAAGTAGGGGACAGGCTGCTGCTGAAACTTACTCTACAGATTTGGAAAAAGATAAGTAGTAAGACAGTGCACCGTGGCCTTATTCCCAAGTATGATCGACCTTTTGAAATTCTAAAACGTATAGGAAATGTTGCTTACAGGCTGAAGTTGCCTGACCGATTGAAGATACACCCAACAATCCATGTTAGTTTCCTAAAACCCTATCATGAGGATCAGGTTAATCTAGCATGGACGCAAGCTCGACGCGCTCCTCCAGTGATTAGAAAACAATTTGACAAAGATGTGGAACGGATTCTGGATCACAAGACAGAGGGGCAAAGCAAGAAAAATCAAAGAACTCATTACTTGGTTAAATGGAAAGGTTCTCCTGAAGTAGATGTGAGTTGGGAAAAGGATGTGACTATGGCAGTTTGAGAAACAAATTATAGAGTACTTAGAAGCCTTATCGACAAAGTCGTCAGCTTCTTCTGGTGGGGGTGGTTTGTTAGCACCTTAAGACTTAGACACTTAGGTTGGCATGCAGTGGCACTTTGCACCTATGTCAACCTTTCAATTCAGGCATGAGGGAGGTATGCCTAAGTTAAGGTAACAATGTGGCAATGGTAATGCCACAAGACTCAAAGACAAGTGATGCTTAATGTAGACAAATGCAAGGCTATACTTAGCCTAAATGCTACTGGCAGCATGGACTTGTTGGGTCAAACAGATCAGTGGGCTTGACACTTAATGATAGACCAAGACTTACAATTTCGTGGGTCAAACTCAAGAGGATTCAAAGGCTGAGATGGGTAGGCAATTCATAGCAATTCTATTGACATGATGCGAAGCTAACAGACGAGGCGGTTATTGGCAATTAGGCTTGCAAGAAACCATGAAAAAAAGTGCTAGAATTAAGGGATTAGTCCAAGACAATTCCAAGCAGTTACCAGCAGTTATATTCTACAGCAGCCTTTATTAGTTTGAATTTACCCTAGCAGTTGGGGGTGTTAACTGCTCATAACTGATTTGTAAATGCCTATAAATGTTAAGATATAGAAAGTTTTAGATAGATCAGATTATCTGTACGAATACTCATGTGTCCTTATATTATCCAGTGATAATAAAAGTTAGGAATAGTTCCTGTAATGTGTTTGTACATGCTTACTTGTTTATAAAACTCATAATGAGTAATTTGTGCATGTTTGACTGAGACTAAGGCTAAGTTTGGGAACTTGTAAAAAAGTCAAAAAATCAAAAAATTACTCAAAAAGTTAAAAAGTTAACACTATTCACCAAAAGTCAACAATTACGGCTGCACAACTCTCAATTCGAATTTTTTCCTACAAATCAATTTTTTATTACACATTTTTTCATAAAAAGTCAAAAAATTAACTCAAATATCTATATTTTTAACCTCAATTTTTTATTTTAAAAAGATAAAAAGTACACTTATTTAGGACACCCCAAACAACCCCTAAATATTATAACATAGTGTCATCGCTAACTAAAAATTTAAAACGGAAATTAACTCTTTAACACCTTCCATCCTATACCATCACGCCACCTTCCCAATTTATCCCGATATAATTTGGGGACGGATCCGGGCTGGACCAGTACAAATCCACCCGACCCGCTGTGTTGCCCATCCCTAGGTAGTAGCAACCGCACCCAGCGTACAAAGCCCATTCCGGGGTGCAGACCGCTCTTTCCAAGTTCCGCCGCCGTAGTCTGACGGTGGTTTTTCACAGAGCCACCCTACGATGCTGAAATGCAAGAATTTGTTGTTGAAGCCATCAAAGAGAAAGAGAAAGAGAAAGAACATAAACATAACCCTTTTTCCCAGAAAACACAACATTGTTTCAGAAAAACAAGACCCTCCAAACCCACTAGAAGATGAAGATGTTGAAGAATGTTTCAGTTTGAAAACATCAGCTCCGTCACATTCTCATGGAGTCCAACCACTGGGTAATCTTTACTTCAACCCATCTTCCCATAATTCAAGAAACACAGGCCTTGGTAACCTCCAAACCCTAACTGATGAACTTGTTCTTGAAATTCTAGGGTTCTTGAGTGCCACCCATTTGGGTGTTTTATCAACTGTTAGTAAATCTTTTTATGTTTTCTCTAACCATGAACCCATTTGGAGGAACCTTGTTTTGGAAAATTCTGAAGATGGGTTTTTGTATAATGGGTCTTGGAAATCTACTTATGTTGCTGCATATATGCCTTCATTTCCTGTTTCGAGTATCGGGTCTTCGGGTTTGAAGGTTAGAGACTTCTATTCTGATTATTTGTTTCAGAGTTGGCTCTGTGCTAATCTAGAAATGAAACCTGAATGGCTTGAAAGGGATAATATACAAAGGAGGAGAGGGATTTCGGTTGATGATTTTATATTGAATTTTGAGGAACCGAATAAGCCAGTGTTGCTGGAAGGCTGTGTAGATAATTGGGTTGCATTGGAAAAATGGGATAGGGAATACTTGGTTGAGATGTGTGGTGATCTTAGATTTTCAGTAGGGCCAGTGGAGATGAAGCTTGAAGACTATTTTAGGTACTCGGATCAGGCTAGGGAAGAAAGGCCCTTGTATCTTTTTGACCCAAAATTTGCAGAGAAAGTTCCAAGATTGGGTTTGGATTATGAAGTTCCAGCGTACTTTAATGAGGACTTGTTTGGTGTTTTGGGCAATGAGAGACCAGATTATAGATGGATTATAATTGGACCAGCTGGGTCCGGTTCATCATTCCACATTGATCCTAATTCTACATCTGCTTGGAATGCAGTGATCAAGGGGTCCAAGAAATGGGTATTGTTCCCCCCTGATTTGGTGCCACCAGGGGTGCATCCAAGCCCGGATGGCGCAGAGGTGGCCTGTCCTGTTTCGATAATTGAGTGGTTCATGAACTTCTACGCTGCTACAAAGGAATGGAAAAAGAAGCCCATTGAGTGTGTTTGTAAGGCTGGGGAAGTGATCTTTGTACCCAATGGATGGTGGCATCTCGTGATCAATTTAGAAGATTCCATTGCAATTACTCAGAATTTTGTTAGCAGGTATGGTACCTATTTATTTTATTTAAAACTGTCTATGCGTGAGAAATTTCTGATAACTGCCTGTCATAATTTCACTGTAGTTTTCTTGTCTTGCCTTGTAAATGTCATTTTGTGGTAAGTGCTGGTTTATCAGCACGGTTGGTGAATAATGTCTTCTAAAGTATTATTAGCATTGGCAAACCTAAGTCAATATTCTGAGTGATAAGCAATAAATTGATTGAGTTGATTGTAATTTATGAGGAACTGGAATTTACTCAATCGCAATGCCATACCAACTGAACCTGTCAGAATTTTGATTCAACCATCTAATAATTGGATTTATCCCCGTGTTGTACTATAATTTTAGAGATTCAGAGTGATCAAAAGATTAATAGATGCTTTACAAAGTACATATGAATAACTTAGGTGTTTTGCCTGATGATCCAGAACATTAAGGAAGAACATTATTTCTTAGCATATGGCCACTGAAATTCTTGAATTTGTAGAGTAACTTGAGATCAAGTTAAATGATGTGAGTGAAATCTGTGAAACTTGTAGAGGTCGGTAGCTAACTAAGCCAACCTTGCTGCTAGACGACTGGGAGCTTCAAGATTCTTATTGTTTTAAAACAATTTATTAAAGCATGTAAGTGCTCCAAGATACATTTTAAATTTTTAGGAGTAAATTGCTCATAAAAAAAATAAAAAAATAAAAATTTTAAAAGTTAAGAGTAAATTGTTAAACAATGTAAGATAATGTGCAAGTGTCTTTGTGGTGGGAACATGGATGCTCCTCATATTTCAGTGTCTAGCCTTTCTTTTTTTTTCCCTTCATTGATGATACTCTTCTCTATTGTGAAGCTACGAACGAGGAATTGAGGTGCTTGAGGTGTGTATTGCCATGTTTTGAGGTAGCTTCAGGTTTAGATGTTAATTTTGTTATGAGTGCTCTTATAAGAGTGGGGGAGTTGCGTGATCTGGATTATCTTGTTGGGATCTTGTGTTTGTCTTGTTGCCTCTTGTGAATCATGTGCTTCTTCATTGTCCGGTGGCTTTCCGTTTGTGGACGGTGATTTTGTCTACTTTTGGTGTCCTTTGGGTGTTGCCTGAAGGGGTGATAGATGTTTTATGGAGTTGGGAAGGAGGTGGGGTTGGGAAGCAGCATCAGAAGGCTTAGGCTATGGCTCTTTATGCTTAATATGGTTGATTTGGTTGGAGCGGAATGGTTGCATTTTTCAGGAGATTGTTCGGTCTGTGTTTTGGTTGGAAAATAAGTTCTTTGTGGTTGGGTGTCTGGGCAGGTGGACTCCAATTTGTTTACTCTTTTAGATTTTAGAAGTGATGTGATTGGCTAGGTGTTCCCTTTTTGGGTTTTCTGTTTCTATGTTCTTTAGCATTTCCTTGATGCTATTGGTTTAATCAATTTTATTTATCAAAAAAAAAAGCTAAAGCTGTGTGGGAAGGGGTAGTGAACAGATTTGAGAGAAGGCTTGCTTCATGGAATAGAAGAGAATATTTATCCAATGGGAGTAGATTGACTTTGATTAAAAGTGCTCTCACAAGCTTTCCCACTTATTTTATGTCCATTTTTACTATTCATTACTCAGTGGCAAAGAGATTGGAGAGATAACAGACTGTGTTTGCCCATCCACAGGGGAGGCTTAAGGGTTCATATGTTGGAGGTCTTTAATAAAGCTTTGTTGGATAAGTGACTGTGGAGTTTAGCTTTAAAAAAATGGCAGGCTTGGGAAAAGGTTGTGGAAGGAAAAGTATGGGAGAGATCAGAGTAATTGGTCCATTATGAGGTGAGGATGTGGAAAGGTGTTCTGAGGGTCTAGGATGATTTTGCCCAAAAATTCCTCTTTAAGGTGGGTAATGGGAGACGGGGTGAGGTTTTGACTTGATTTGTGAAGTGGCCATAGACCACTTAGAGAAGTGTTTTCAGATTTTTTTTTTCCTTTTATAATTTGGCTATTGATTCCAATATGACTGTACAAGATTATCTTTTGCTTGATGACAATCCTCAGTTGGGCTTTAGAGGACTTGGAAATTCAATCCCTGGAGGCTTCTTTGGTTTGATATACGACACAGAAATTCATTCGGCTGATATGGTATAGACCATTGGAGTGTTTCTAAGAAAGAAGTGCTTTCAGTGTGCTCCTACCAGGATTTGTGTGGTGGAGGGTGTTCCCTCTGTTTGCTTTTTTTGTTTTTTTTGGGGCGTGGAAATGCTTGAATAAGGAAGTGGTATCTTGGTTAACAAAATTCTTTAGTAAGATTCTAATGACTAGGAAAATGCCTAACGAGTGCCATTAATTGAAGATAAGTTGAAAGAAAGCAAATTAAGATGGTTTGATTATGTACAATGAAGACCTATAGATGTAACAATAAGAAAGAATGATATGATCACCATATATGGGCATAGTAGTGAAAATATATATGAATTTATTTAACTGAGCATATAATCTTTGCCCGATCAAAATGGCAAACAATGTTTCATGTAGCTAACTCTACTCTAGGCTTAGTTTGGTTTGGTTTGGTTGATTTTTTTCTTGCATAATTGCCCTTGAGACTCTTTTGACTATTGACAACCTTAGGAATAAATGCAAAGTAATGATTGAATGGTGTTGTATCTGTAAGCAGGTAGGGTAAAGTGTCACTCCTTCCGCATTGTCTAGTAGATTGCTATGGAACTTGATTTGCTCAGAGTTTTTTATTTTTTGGTGTTGGGTGATGTCGTTTTCAATGGGAGAGCTTCTCGCTAGTTGGAGTTCTTGTTGCCCAAAGAAGTCAGAGAAGACTTGGCAGACTGCAATTTTGTGTGTTTGTGTACAGATTGGAAGGAATAGGACTTTTGATGATGTTGAATAACCTGTATGTAATTTGAAAGGACCTTTACTATCAGTTTCTTTCCTGGTTGAGAGAGGTCTATCATTTATATGTTTTGTCTTGGGTATAGTTTTTAAGTGATTTATTGATGCCTGTGGAGGTATGGCATATGGGCCTTGCTCTTTTGAGTGTACAGGGTTTACATTATTAAGCCTATTTTTGCTAATATACTTTTGATAAAAGAAAAGGAGAGTATTGTATTAATTTTGGGCCTTTTTCACCATCTCTTTTTGTATTACTTTTCCACTCTTCTTTACTTCCAATAAATCATGGTTCGTTTTGGCGAAAGTAAGGAATTTAAACCATTTGATCAGAATTTATGATCGCAAGGAGTGTGAACTGTGATGGGAATGGATAAATTGCGACAAACACTTTTTAGAGGAAGAAAAATAGGAAGCAAGATGGAGAAGGGGTTAAAGATACTACTAATCCACCACAGTACTACTTGCTGTGTCCATGGATGAACAACAATGATTTGACACAGGAAAAATTCATTACGAACAATTAGTTAAACCCACAATAATTGATGTACATAACAATTTTTCAAGGATAAAAATTCAGATATCAGTGTAATATGATGTTGCTAGTTTCTTGCAAAGAGCATAGCGCCTTTCTAGTTAGACTTAATGATATAGTAAAACATTTCACACGAAGAGTTCTTCACTTTGTTGTCTTTTGTGTGTTGCAGGAGGAATTTGCTGAATGTTTTGGATTTTCTCAAGAGGCCAAATGCTGATACACTCGTGTCTGGAACAAGAGACCGAGTGAATTTGTATGACAAGTTTAAGAACGCAATCGAGACATCGTTCCCCGGAACTATTGATGAGTTGGTGTTGAAAGCGGAGGAGAAAAAGGCCCAGCAGAAGAAACCATCCTTCTGGGAATCAGTAACAGATTCCAGGGCCGGTGCCTTTAAGTTCTCTTTCTGAAGGAACACCCACAAAGACAACAACCGAGGGACAAACCACCGAATAACCTGGCATTATGATCTCTCCTAAGTCGAGCTTTTAGAAAAATGGGTGATGATTTTAGACATTTATACATTTTATTAGTTTTTTACATTCAATTTTTCATTTACTTGCATTCAGAAGAGAGAGAAACAGTGTAGAACAGTTTTGGCATTAGTTACATTGTTGTATTTTAATCATTTTTTTACAATTTTAATGATAGTGTTGGTTTGGAAGCTTTCTATTATTCATGTACTAATCCTAATTAGTGCGTTGCATGAATGTATATGATTTAAAATGAATAACATAAAAATAAGATTACAAAACATATGATGTATTATAGTTTTAGGTTTAATGTTATACGCACTGATTGTCTTTTATTATTTATTTTTGATAAGATTTGATAATCAAAAATAGAAAAAGTAATTTAATTAAACAAACAAATAAATCAAAAACAATTGCAGCAAAAAATCAACTAGTATCATATGATGGAGAATTACATTTTACTATGATAAAAATAATATTCTATTGTCAACACACAACAAAACAAAAGACTCAATTATTCAAGTTTCTTATTAAAAAAATAAATTTGATATCAAATGTAAAAGAGAAAAATTAAATATTACATAAAAACATATAAATCATAAAATTATGTGAACTCATCATCAAAATACTCTCAAAAGATATAATTTTAAGCAAAAAAATATGGATACAGCTCCTCTCCAATAATTGGAGGGTGCTGTTGTTAGGCCCTGATCCGGGCCCATGGTGATGATTCAAACCATTGAATGTGTGGAATCCATCGAGTACATCATTCCCGCTAAAATATCACATTGATAGGATATTGATAATCACTTGATCATATCACATTTTTATCACAATTCATTTTGAAAATTATATTAAAATGTTATGTGATCAAGTGGTTATCGATAACCGATTAATGTGATTTTTTACAGGAATAATGTACTCAACGTGTTCTGCACATTACACGGTTTGGATTATCGTCATGGGCCCGAATCAAGGCCCACCAATGCTGAACATCACCCTCTAGTTATCGGAGGGAAGTTGGGTCCAAAAAATATAGTGGACACTTAATGGCCAAGTTAAATTATGTTGAAATTCTCAAATAAGAAAATTAGAAAGAGTTTTTTAGTTTGGTGGGAAATTCATTATGAGAATGATACACACAAATAATTTTCTTACACTTTTTTTTTTTTTTTTTTTTTGCAATTTTGGTACATAATATTCAACATTGATGCAACAAAAAAAAATCAAAAACTCCCTAGCCGCCAAGTTTAGTATTATATCTATGATGTCACTTGCAAAAAAATTAAAATTTAGACAAAAAATGTAAATGTGTGTAGCATTTTAGTCATACTTATAACAATATAAAATTATATATAAAGAGAAAGAGGAGGGGGGGAATGCAAATGTGTGAAGCATTCAACCATACCTATAACAATATAAAATTATATATATATATATATATAGAGAGAGAGAGAGAGAGCAACATAATAATTTTGTATATATTTATAATCAATTGAAATATAATTGTTTATATAGGAGGAGAGAGATATAATATGGATACATAAATATAGATTATATTGGATGGATAAATATAGATTATCTTTATTATATATTCAAATTCAAATTTAAATTATTTTTATTTTCAATTTTGTTGATATATATATAGTATTTAAGAAAATTTACCTATAAATCTCATTTTTAGGAATGGTGATCCATTTAGTCTTAAGGATTTTCAATTCAAATATTTTGAATTTTGGGATAGCTTTCTCTCTTTTTTCCCCCTCTCTTGTTGATAAGTTTGTATTTGGATAACTGTTATTCTAAGAGCATATATTATTAAATTATTAAAGAAATTAATTTTTATTTTAAATGGAAATGATGTGAGAGGAGTGAGTTTGAAACTTAAGTGTCACATAATTTTTTAAAATTTTAGATTTTATAAGAAATTAAGAATAGATATTTGAAGGCCTAAGAGCACACCTACTACATTTGCTTATATATATACTAGTGGTAAACCCGTGCTGTGCACAGGATTAGTTTAGTAATGTGTAAATTTTTTAATAACGCATTAATTTTTAAGTTTACTCATAAAATTATAATCATAATGCATAGAGATCATCTTTTTAAATTTCAGGGGGGAATGCAAATGTGTGAAGCATTCAACCATACCCATAATAATATAAAATTATATATATATATAGAGAGAGAGAGAGAGAGACAGAGAGGGGGCGGAAGAGAAAGAGCAACATAATAATTTTGTATGTGTTTATAATCAGTTGAAATATAACTGTTTATATAGGAGAATAGAGATGTGAAATTGGATGGATAACTATAGATTATCTTTATTATATATTCAAACTCAAATTTAAATTATCTTTATTTTGAATTTTGTTGATATATATATATAGTATTTAAGAAAATTTACCTATAAATCCCATTTTTAGGAATGGTGATCCATTTTGTCTTAAGGATTTTCAATTCAAATATTTTTGAATTTTGGGATAGCTTTCTCTCTTTTTTCCCCCTCTCTTGTTGATAAGTTTGTATTTGGATAACTGTTATTCTAAGAGAACATATTATTAAATTATTAAAGAAATTAATTTTTATGTTAAATGGAAATGATGTGAGAGGAGTGAGTTTGAAACTTAAGTGTCACATAATTTTTTAAAATTTTAGATTTTATAAGAAATTAAAAATAGATATTTGAAGGCCTAAGAGCACACCTACTACATTTGCTTATATATATACTAGTGGTAAACCCGTGCTGTGCACATGATTAGTTTAGTAATGTGTAAATTTTTTAATAACACATTAATTTTTAAGTTTACTCATAAAATTATAATCATAATGCATAAAGATCATCTTTTTAAATTTCATAAGTGAAGACAATATTTCAAAGCAAATATTCATAAAATATTATAATCATCCAATTGAGTTATTTTTCTTAAAACAATAAACTTGATTTCTAACTAATGAAATAATCTATGTTAACAATAAATAAGATGTTTCTCAGTGAAACTACTGTCTAAAACATATATATGCTAAAAAAACTAACAATAAACTAAATGTCATCAACCAAATTTATCTATATTTGATAAATTAAAACTCAATAGATGTCGCTCATCATATCCAAATGTCCCAAAAAGTACTTGTAAAACAAAAAAGTGTTAACATTTTTTTGTTATAATTTTTTACATACAAACAAACTTAATAAAAATAGATATATTATCGTATGAGGAGTGTTGATTTAATTGTCCTCATTTTTGGATTGTTGCTTCACTTCATTCTCTTCACAATCATTATTTTTTTCTTGTTGCTGCTACTGTTGTTCCACTTTAATATTTTCATTACCAATGCGTTGCTCCACTTCATCTAATGCTTGTAAACAAATCATATCATTTTCAATTTCCTCCAACATAACTATCAATGCTCTCATGTCTTGGAAGTCTTTTTTTAATTTTTTTATGAATTTCTTGAATAGGCCATGAGGTTAGAAGTGTGTTAACTATAGCATTAACTAATATTGCAATGTGGGGCTGGAAACCTTTTTTCCTAAGCTCATAAAACACTTGCTTTTTATGTAACATATGCTCTCGTACCGTTACATTTGGAGTCATCCGCTCTTGCTCAAGTTCAATCCATAGAGGATGAACTTCACGCTCCTTCTCCATTAAAGCATCCATTAAGTCTGAGGCATCTTTGATTTCATGCTTTTGAAAAATTGTTTCCTTTACTTCATTCCAGCTCGATGGTAAAAGGTCTAATATTGTTTCCATCAATTTTTTTTTTCACTTATTTTTGCATTGCTTGACATATTTTGATTTTCCAATCAACAAAATTTTCTACTGGTAAACCCTCTTTATGCGGTATAGTTTCAAATTCATTTATAGCATTTTGCATGGCCAAACAATCACTAACACGCAAATTTAGAAGAGTCGCATATTTATCTGCATAATGAATTTAACACATTTAACATACAGTTTCATAATGTTAGCCAAGTTTTTTTAAATAATAAACCACATTTATTATTATTTGAGTAAAATTTATAATGATAATTGTTAACATAAAAATTGTTTCTTCAAAAAAAAATGAAAAAAAAGGGTACTTAATTATAAAATAAAATAATTGTATGAATTAAACATAGTATATGTACAGACAATTAAATTAAATATAAACATGTAAATTTCAAATGCAACATATGTTTTCATGTATGACATTACTTATTTTAAACAATCAATATATGAAGAGAAATAATAAAATAATTGTTTCTAGGAAAATGAAACACATTTGAAACTCTTGAACAAAATTATTGATCAATGCCACTAAAAACTTCTATGTAAACTATATTTTTTGTGACATCATCCGGTATGCCTTGTTTATTAATAATCAACACCTTTAAGCCTGATGGAGAGGTGACACATGATAGAGTTACATACAATTGGCCATGAGAAGACTAGATTCGGAAGATAAAGGCCCACATGCTTCAAAGTTTGCCCTTGACTC